TGAACTTCATGGCATTTCCATGTTGGCCTCATTATGTAATAGTGAGGCTCCAGCCACAACCCGCCAACTTTAATGAAACCTGCACACAGTGATGGGTCCTCACTCAATTTTGCTCAATGTCAAGGTCATATTTGTTGTTTTACTGGTACTTTTTAGTCAGATTTGAGTGAAATTAGATACATTTGTCTGAGGTGTGACTGTTTGCAAGCTTGTTGCAAGTAACAACAATACTTACTGTATATCTTTCTTTCTGTACTTCACACATGACCACAGTAACATATTAGCTTATTAATAACCTGTGAACTGTGACGGATCATGAGCTGGATGAGCTACCACATCAATAATCTTCTGGTTTGACCACTTTGACCACTTGAACCATAGAAAACTGAAAAGAAGGACATAGTCATGGAAACACACGGTTTTAAGTCCTTTAGCTAATTCCACTCACTTCCAGTGGACAGAGGTGAGGGCAGAAATGTCAATGACGGACACATTTGAAAGAAAACGTATGTGCCTGATAGCAGCAGAAAGACACGGCAGCATCTGAACTGACCTTTTAAAGCAGAAGGTTTCAGTTTAGAAAACGTCTCAGTCACACAGTTGTGTATGACTTAAGTCACTATGATCGTTCTTTAAAAAAACACATTTTTCAGCATCAGATTCAACCTTCTGCCCTTAAATGTTAATCTCAAATCCATTCCTCTTGAGTCTGACAGATTTCTCATTAATCTCTGTCAAACTAGCAAATCACCGTGAACTTTATTATCTGTAGTGTTTCTGAACAATATCAGTGTGTTTAGTCTAAACCGCTGGTGAAAGTTCTTGAGTAAGGACATTTTTCTCTCACAAATACCGTCTCTTTGGGTATAACGTGCAGTAGACGGTATTTGTTGTTTTGCATCATATAAGCAAAAATATTCTAGCCTCCTTTTCTTGGTGGTAGTGAGAATTACTGTCTTTTTGCTCATATGACACAAAACTTTGGCTCTACAAGGTATCTAAAGTATCTCTCTGTACACCCATATCTCAGACTCCTCTAATCTCTTACACAGAGCACTGGTTAGTGTACATGCCTCAGCGTGATTTGAACAGGGATCTTAAAGTGTCTTCCTTTCAGAACTTTTCTCATTTTCCTGAAAGAAACTCCAGCCTTTTCAGTGTCACACCTGACTTCGTGCGAGAAATATGATGGTACTCTCAATCCTATCATCCTCAGTCTGAAGAGTGCCCTGAATGCCATCACACATTCACACTTTTCTCCCTCCGGGGAACCTGTGACTCCCTCCTTAGGGAGGCATCCCCAGGTGGCAAATATGCTTCTCAAATATGAGAGGTAGGAAGGAAATCAAATACCTCCTGAGGACCAACAGATGCAGCAGCCTTCATTATAATTCCACAGAACCACCGGGTTGGGTAATGTGGCACGCATTTGGGAGCATCACTATAATTAGAGCGGTAGCAACTGTGCATGAGTGCATGAGAAAGGCAAAGGAAAACCTTCAATATGACAGGAAAATGTCAAAGTCTCCAGCAGGATGAAGAAGAATCTGCCAACCAGTCAACACCTGTCATGGATGAGAATCATTTGCATAACCCTAAATGTTTGGTAGATATAGGTTCCAACTAAAACAACAACAAGGTTCTCCAGCTTCTGCTGGTGGAGAAAAGAAGCATCCAACCAATAGAGTCCAAAATACTGTGGAAACCTCTGGACTATTGGGCTACTGCTATGTGGAGATGTTACAGATCAACCTGCAGAAGCAGTGCTGTCAAAGTGTCAAAGCCACTCAGGCTAAAGACTATAACCTTGTTTTTGCACGACACCCTATAGGCAGAGAAAGGTGTTTCTTTTTATCCAAACCTTAGTAATACTGGATTTGTGTTGCTCATGCACATAAAGCTCACCACACCTCCTCACATTAACACAGTAAAACAGCATAATACAGTAAAACACAAACAGTTATTGTAAAATAATTCAAGATATATTTTTCTTTGTTCAGGTTGTTTTTGGCTGAACAACCACTCAAGTAACAAATAGTGAAGAGAGCATTTACTGACCCTGAGGTCATCTGTCAAATTTAATGCAAAAATATCTCACGAATTTGTGTGAAGAAAAGACTGGAAAAGTTAGAGAAACACAGAACAAAATACAGAAAAAACAGCAGTAAAATTCAGTCAAGGAATTCATGCGTTCATTCATTCAAATACGTTCTTCATTTGAGCTCCTAGGATCATTATCTCATAAGAAACAGTAGAACATCAACAATAACTTTGAAATTATATTATTAAGGCAGCCAAACAAACTACAGACTCGGTGCCATTAAGATGAGTGATTTTCCTTCTTATTGAACACGAAGCAGTAATTCAGAGTAAAATGAAACTGATAAAATCAAATAATTATTTATGCTAATTTTTTTTAAGGAAATTGTGCTTGGGATTAACTGAATATATACCAATTTTATTTAATAAAATTGCATTAAAGTTGACATTTTTCATTTTACTTATGTAGCAAAATTACACCAAAAACTTGTAATTAAATTAAATTAAATTAAATTAAAATGAGCATGGGTGAGGTGTTCCAGGCATGTCCCACCGGGAGGAGGCCCCGGGGCAGACCCAGGACACGCTGGAGAGATTATATCTCTCGGCTGGCCTGGGAACGCCTTGGTGTTCCCCCGGATGAGCTGGAGGAGGTGGCTGGGGAGAGGGAGGTCTGGGCCTCTTTGCTTAGGCTGCTGCCCCCGCGACCCGGCCCCGGATAAAGCGGATGAAGATGGATGGATGGATGGATAAAATGAGCATCATGGCATTTTTGAGTGTATGGACTGTCTGCAAATCTTTTACACTTAGTTTGTAAAAACTGTCTCCGAATAATTTTAGTGATTTTTGTTTTTATTTAGTAAAAATATTCACTAACTTAGGCGGCCCTTGTTCCATATTTATTTTTTTAATTTTCGTTTTTTTTTAGTTTTGTAATTATTTAGTTAATCTCCGAAACGCCTACCTCCCCCCTCACCTCACGCTTTTATTTTGAAGGCGGGTCCTCTCGTGTTCCGGTGCTGTCCCCTCCGTTAAACCCCGTGCGGTACGAGGCTGACCGCTGAATTTTAACAGCAGGTGAAAAAAAGAATGAGAGAAAAATGAAAGAGCGAGGGAGGTAGAGAGACGTAGAGAAAGAGAGAGGGGGGAGAGAGAGCTGTCGGAGCATCCTGCCAGCCGCTGCTGTGGAGGAGGGTGAGGCTTCGCTAAATGTTCCGTTGGCTCGACTCGATTTCGTCTTTTGTTGATGTCAAGGCAGAAACAAAGTCCTTCGTCCACCGCGGGAGCGCGCCTCTGTGTTGTGAAACGCACATTCACCATAACGAGGCTGTGGTTGCGTGTCCGTGCTTCCCAGTGGCGGTTCAAACCCGCCTCATCTACTTTACCGTCTTATGTGGCTCCCTGTTCGCCCCACATCCCTCATGATCCTCTGCTGGAGCGCATCTGCGGTTATGTTTGGCGCGACATTTGGTCCGGTTTAAAAACGGTAGAATGAATAGAGCTCTCTGATAATCTGTTGTCGATAGGCTGATCTCATTTATTTATTTATTTATTTGCACGTTATTCTGGCGTCAGCGTGACCAGGAAATGCTGTAAGCGGGCCTGTCCACCCCCCATCCATCCATCCATCCATCCATCCATCGTGAACTGAATGAAAGACCTGTTTGCTTTGGCTCTGAGCGCAGTAATGTTGGGGCACATGTTTGCTCTTTGCCTGTGTGTACATGTGTATCAGTGTGGATAATCAGACCCCCTCCCCCTGTGTGTGCGCTCTGCTGGCAGCATTTCAACATGACAACCCTGCGTCAGAGGAAGGGCAGCAAGGGGAAGGAGCCCTCTCCTGCTGCAGAGCTTCAGTCCCAGCAGCACAACTGTTGCTCTGAACACCATCCGGAGAAGATCCTGCATGGTGAGTGAGACACCCCGCACTCCCATCTCAGGCTTTGCGAGCCACACATAGATGTTTCCCACCAACAAGCTGCAAGTGCCAGTTCTACCACACATTTCAGCAGGTTTGAGCCGATCATTACTTGGTCACCAAATCACCAGTGAAGTTCTTGGTGCTGTTCTGGTGCCAGCTTTTTGGCAGCCAGGCTTTTTACCTCTGCCAAAGTAGTTGAGGACTTGTCAGTGGGTTTGATTTGCAGTCTGCTGTTATTTTGTTCCCACATGAAGCATCCCCAATTTTCACCTGTAGTGTTTGGTTCTCAAATCTGTTGACTTTAAA